CAACCTTGGACTGGTAGAGCCTGGCATGGTGGGGCTGAATTTCCAGGATCCTCTGCAAGAAGCCCAGTTTGCCCAGGAAGGGCAGGGAGACGGGAGGCTCCCCAGAAACATGTGAGAGCTGGGGCTGGGCAAAGTCAAATCGCAGAGCGTCTATCAGCACCAACACAAGCCGGGAGAATCGGGAAGCCATCCAGCAGGCCCCGGGCTCCCCTCGGCTCCCCCATGGCAGGGACCCAGGGCCTGGGGGCTCTTGGCAGCTGCTATGGTTGGTGAGCTCCAAACGGGTGAGCAGGAAGCCACTGGTGAAGAGAGCAATGCCGGCGTAGAAGAGGAAGCCCACCCAGGCCAGGAAGAGCAGCACTGAGATCTTCCGCATCCTGGTGGTGGCGGGGGAGGGAATTCATAACTGTGAGGCAAAGAACCAGCAGATAGTCTAGTCTCTCAACACAAAGCCCAGCTAGAATCACTTCCTCTTGGAAGCCTTCCTGAAGATAAACAGTCCCATAGCCAACCCAATGCAATGTTCCTCTCCACCAGTTATACCAGAGTTTCTGAAGGCGAGGTGCGCAGACTATGGGTATCAACCTGAAGCAGCTGTTTTAAAATGGTGATTTCCAGGCGCCACCCCAAATGCCCTGAATCAGGATCTTCGGGGGTGGAGCACAGGAATTTGTACGCCAGGAGATCCTAATGATGGAAAACACAGCCCACGAGGGAAACTTATTCCAAGTGGTAGACTGCTTTCTGACAGCCCGTTTCTCCTCTCTCCTCGCCAATTTCAACACCCCTGGAGTGGCCAGGGCTCGCAGCCGCAGGGGAATCCCGAACAGGCTGATGGCGCCGCCTGGTGGGGACCCAGGGGACGAAGGGAAGGAGTCCTACTCCGCTTCCGGACAGCCAGGATCGCCAGGAGACCAGAAGCGCGACCTCCCCGGCGCAGCAGGGCAGAGGTGCGAGGTCTTGAGGCAGTAGGGCCTCGCTGGGACCCAGACTTCCGGATGGCTCTGCCTCCTCGGCCTCCGGCTCGGCACCCTGACCTGGGTAAGGGGCCCGCTAGACTGCGAGCTCTGAGTGGGGTGGAAGGGCCCCCAACTTGAGGCAAAAGCGAGCGCAAGGGGATTTGGGGAGACCCTGGCTCACCTTGAATGGCGCCCGGAAGTGCAGCGTCGGCACCTGCGGCCTGGCACCACAGAGGTGCGTGCGCTGGCTAGAGCCACCCTCGGGGGGGGGGGGGGGGGGTCCCGATCGCCATCTGCTGGCGCCTCCGAGGAAGTTCGGCAAGGAACGCAAGGCTGGCCAGAGACGGGAGTTTGATGGGAGAGTATAGTAATTTAGAATTGGGAGCAAGGCACTAAACTAGAGGAGTTCAGGGAGCCACTGTCCATTCTTGGTTAAGACTAAGATCTAAGCCTCTGGAACCAAACTTAGCTTGAATCCTAGCCCTGCCACTCACTGTCATTATTGGGCATTACCTCATCTGTAAAATAGGGATAATATTTATTTCCCCCTTTTTGCCAAGCTGACTCCAGCTGATAGATTTTATTATTCATCCTTTCCAAGGATGAATCTTACAACTCAGTAATAAGACAATCCAATTCAAAAATGGGCAAAGAGGCACAACATTGTAAATCAACTATATTTCAATTAAAAAAAAATTTTTTAATGGGCAAAGGATCTGTATAGACATTTCTCCAAAGAAGGCTTTTTAAAATTTTTGGCTGCGTTGGTCTTTGTTGCCGTGTGCGGGCTTTCTCTAGTTGCAGCAAGCGGGGACCACTCTTCGTTGCGATGTGCAGGCTTCTCTTTGCAGTGGCTTCTCTTGTTGCGGAGCACGGGCTCTAGGCACGCAGGCTTCAGTAGTTGCAGCATGCGGGCTCAGTAGTTGTGGCACAAGGGCTTAGTTGCTCTGCGGCATGTGGGATCTTCCCGGACCAGGGCTCGAACCCGTGTCCCTTGCATTGGCAGGCGGATTCTTAACCACTGTGCCACCAGGGAAGTCCCAAAGAAAATATATGAATGAACTATTAACACATGAGAAGATGCTCAACATTATTAGCCATCAGGGAAATGCTGGAGATACCACTTTGAACACAGGAGGATGGCTATAATAAAAAAGATAAATAACAAGTATTGATGTGGGTGTGAAGAAATGTGAACCCTCATAAACTGCTGTTGGAATTGAAAAATGGTGCAGCAGCTTTTGAAAAGAAGTCTGGCAATTCTTCCAAAGGTTAAACGTAGAGCTACCATATGACCAGCAATTCCACTTGTAGGTATATACCTAAGAGAAAAACCTGTGGCCACACAAAAACTTGCACATGAAGGTTCATAGTAGCATTATCATAGTAGCCAAAAGGTGGAAACAACCCAAATGGCCTTCACTGATAAATGGATGAACAGAATATGCTATATCTATACAACAGAATATTGTTTGGCCAATAAAAAAAGGGATGACGTACTACAAGTGGTTACATGCAACTACATGAATGAAACTTAATAACACGCTCACTAGGGGACTTCCGTAATGGTTCAGTGGCTGAGATTCCATGCTCCTGATACAGGGGGCCCAGGTTCGATCCCTGGTCAGGGAACTAGATCCCACATGCCACAACTAAAGATCCTGCATGCTGCAATGAAGATCCCGCACACGGCAACGAAGAGCCCGGGTGCCACAACTGAGACCTGGTACAGCCAAATAAATAAATATTTAAAAAAAAAACATGCTAAGGGAAAGAAGCCAATCACAAAATAGCACGTATTATTCCATTTACATGAATATGTAAATCTAAAGATACAGAAAGTAAATTAGTGGTTGTCTAGGGTTGAGGGGAGAGAGGAGTGACTACTAATGGGTACAGCGGTTTTGTGGCGGGGTGGGGTTGGGGAGCAGTGATGAAAATGTTCTAAATTGTGATGGTTGCCCAATTCTGTGAATATACTAGAAATTATTGAATTTACACTTTAAGCAGGTGAATCACATTGTATGTGAATTATATCTCAGAAAAGCTACCATTTAAAACAAAAAACCTCTCCAATAGTTTCTCATCTCAGACTAAAGCCTAAATTCTTGCAGTGGTTCTACATGGCCCTACAAATCTACACACTGACTCCCCACTTCCTTCTTTGATTCATCTAGCTGCCACTTGTTTCCTTAACTCAGTTCCATCCACTGTAGTTGCTTTGCTCTTCACATTACAAGGCAGCCACGCTCTGCCTCAGGACCTTTGCATTTCCAACTCCTGTCAGCTTTACTCCCAGATGCCCAAATGGGCCGTCCCCTCCTCATCTCCCGTTGCGGAGCACAGGCTCCGGATGCGCAGGCTCAGCGGCCATGGCTCACAGGCCTAGCCACTCAGCGGCATGTGGGATCTTCCCGGACCGGGGCACGAACCCGTATACCCTGCATCGGCAGGCGGACTCTCAACCACTGCACCACCAGGGAAGCCCTCCCTTCCTTTCTTTACTTCCCTCTCTAGTACAAATCATCAGCATCTGAAATACTATACATATTATTAATGATTTGTCCCTTCCAAATAGAATGTAAGCTCATTGAGGGTAGGGAATTTTGTTTTCTTTATTACTATATCCTCGGTGCTTGGCATATAGTTGGGATTCAAAAAAATCATTAAATGGATAAATGAATAAATTCTAATTCAGAAATATGTTGAAATATCCCTCCACCTTCATCCTCAAAGCCCCTTACCTATGTTCAGGCCTCACCACCCTCTCCAGGACCACTGAAGCAGCCTTCTTACTGTCCTTCCAGCCTCCCATCTCTCCTTCAAATCCCCTGACCACATTGCAGCAGGACAGCTCCATCTGAAACTCTGATGTGATTACCTTAATCTTCTTAAAATTCTTCACAGGAAGGGAAAAAACCCTTCATGCCCCCTGCTCCCCAGATAAAGGCCAAACTCTTTCAGGACCCTATCTCCCTGAGATTTGGCCCCTGCCACATAGTCACACCCCCTAACACCCCACCCATCAGCCACAGAGAACAACTGTGAATACTCCAACTTCTCTGGAGCTGTGGGCCTTTGCATATTCCAGTCCCCAACCGTAGCCTGATGAAAGCATTGATTTTTCCAGCCTGAGCCCAATGTCCGAGTTAGTAACCTTGCTGCCCACAAAGTGACATGATCCTCCCCCAAGGATCCCTCAGCCAGAACTTTCCTCCACCTCAGCACTTATCACTTTGTAGCTCTGTTTCCTGTGAAAACAGGGACCATAAGATTTGGGTTCTTCTGTAGCACGGAGCTTGGCACATGGTAGACATCATTGAATGTTTTTATTTTTTTAAATTATTTATTTTTTTACACAGCAGGTTCTTATTAGTTATCCATTTTTACATATTAGTGTATACATGTCAATCCCAATCTTCCAATTCTTCACACCACCACCTGCCCCCCGCCACTTTCCCACCTTGGTGTCCATACGTTTGTTCTCTACATCTGTCTCTATTTCTGCCCTGCAAACTGGTTCACCTGTACCATTTTTCTAAGTTCCACATATATGCATTAATATACTGTATTTGTTTTTCTCTTTCTGACTTACTTCACTCTGTATGACAGTCTCTAGGCCCATCCACGTCTCTACAAATGACCCAATTTCGTTCCTTCTTATGGCTAAGCATTGAATGTTTTTGAATGAACGAATGAGTGTCCTCAGTCCCTGAGGACCCTTTGAGCACTACTCTACCAGGACAGTCCTCTTTCCCATTAAAAAAAACACCAACACCTGCTCAAATTCACAGCCCTACACTTAGCAAGAGGGGGGACTACACTCCCCAGCTGGCAGTTCAGTAGACATGTGGTTTAATCCTTCCACTGTATCCCACAGCTTCTCCTGAAGACAGGCAGGATGATTTCCCTTTACATGACATTTAATCTTGCTCATGGAGGAATCAGTCCCCAAGACCTGACAGGACTGGAGGTGGCAGTGGTCATCCAAGAAGAACACCGGTGACTCTCCCAACTTCATTCCCCAATCAAAGAGGACAGTTTTGGTTTGCCATTGGTGAGTTTATTACATGATTAAAGTTCAAATAAAAAAATAATAACCAAAATCTTGGCAGGGAGGCTAGAGCCAGAATCTGGGAGTGCTGCTTCCCTGTCCCCAGCCTCCCTGACCAAGCCCAGCTCCATTAACTCAGCTTGACTCGATCAAGTTCCTCATCAAGACTTGCATCTGTGCTCTGGACATCTCTGCTGCTCCTGCTGGAGACTGAGTCCTGGGCTCCTGGCACCGGGGCTTTGGTGAGGGCCCCATACACACCCATGGCCTGAGGAGAGGGACAGAGAGAGAGCCATGATGACACATGGCAGAAGGCATAACCCAACCCACCAACGGCTCAAAGGAAGAAGGTAGAGCCAGGGCCAGTAAGCTTGTTTTTCCTTTCTCTCTCTCAAGCCTCAGTCTTAAAAGCTTTGGAGTCGGTTCTAGGAATGTTACAAACTACCAGAGCAGGGTCACCCTCAAAATACTAATACAGGCATCTGCAAAAAAAAAAAAAGAAAGATGTCTCAAGAGGTTCCCTATTGCTAGGGATGACTGGGGGTGTCTCGTTCAGGGGATGAAGAGAGATGTAGGTCTCAGGGCACTCTAGAGGACTCGATGGGGAAAGTGATGGTGGTGGTGGTAGCGTCTCAGTCTCTGGCATTGGTGCTCTATGCTGGGTCTTCAGGGTGCTCTAACCTGAGCCACCATACTGGTGACGTCGCCAGGGTTGGAGGGCAGCAGGATAGTGTTGGAGTCCTTGGCCAGTTTAGAGAATGCGCTGACATACTGCTCAGCCACAGTCAGTGAGGCTGCTGCATCTCCATTCTGTGGCCACAGGGAAGATAAAAATCAGAGATCACAGACTTGGATGGGGGCGGGGGAGGAAAGGAAGTGGAGAGAAATCAGGTTCCTAGAAAGAGGATGTGCAGATCACAATACAAGAGATCATGTAATGTGGCTCAATGGAACCAAAAAGGCAGGAATTTCTCCCAAGGGTAGATAAGAGAACCTCTTCTACTGCCAATTCCTGATCCCCAATCCCACCTAGGGGGTCTCTCACATGTTGTGTCAGAGCTGCAGCCAGGATGCGAATAGCTTCAGCTTTAGCCTTGGCCTTGGCCAGAACTGCACTGGCCTCTCCTGGAAGAAAAGAGACAGAGCTTAACCTATGAGGTCAGGGTACCCCAAAAGCTCCTGTCCCAGTACCAAGCCTCAAAGACCCATACCCTGTTCATCACTCAGCCTCTACCCTCTGCTGACCTGCTGCCTGATTTATTTGTTCAGCCTTTTCTGCCTCAGAGGCCAGGATCTGTGCCTGCTTCTTCCCCTCTGCCACGTTGATGGCCGACTCTCGAGTCCCCTCAGACTCTAGAACTGTGGCCCGTTTCCGCCGCTCTGCCTCCACCTAGAAGCCCCCAGCAAGCCCCATCAACAAGAAACCAGAGTAAAAGTAAACTCTTACACAGACCTGCAATTGTACCCATCACAACAGGGAAGGGAGTCCAGGTCCCTATGCAACTGGAGCATCCTGAAGTACTCCACCTCATCCCTCTCTGGCCCCCACCTGCATCTGCATGGACTCTTTCACCCGGGGTGGCACATGGATATCCTTGATCTCATAACGGAGGCAGCGGATGCCCCAGCAGTCAGCAGCCTGGTTGATAGCATCCACGATGTTAGCATTCAGGGACTCCCGCTCCTGGAGGAAGAGAGGTGTAAGCTCCATGGCCTCAACCCAACCTTCAGGGGGCTAAACCGAGAAGGTCCCGGAACTGATCCCCAGAAAGGACTGAGAGTGCCAGGTATGTGTCTTCAAACCCTAACTCTGGCTCAGATCCCCTTACCCGGAAGACTTTGTCCAGAGAGAGTTTGCCGAGCTCTGATCTCATGGTTGTCTGAGCTAGCTGGGTGACAGCATACTCAGGGTCCTCCACACCATAGCTTGCCTGAAAGGGGCATGGACAGTGTCAGTAGCTTGCATGCAGGATTTTAGTGAGGAGAGCAACTCAGGAGCTGAATAAAGCAGAGGACAGGTACCTTGTAAGGGTCCATGATGCGCAGGTAAAGGACTCCATCGATTTGCAGAGTTACATTGTCTGTAGGTGCAGGAGCAGGAGAGAAAGGAGGTCAGGCCTCCAGGTCCCAATCAGCTCTTTCTCCTGCAACCACATCCTAATGGCCTCAGAGCACCCATGTCACCCCGCACCCCTCACCAAGAGTCACGGCAGACTGCTCAGGCACGTTGATGACAATTTCCTTGAGACTCTGCACATATCGGATCCGGTCTAACACAGGGATGAGGATATTCAAGCCCTGGGAAGAGGAGTTACAGGTCTTCAGAAGGATGGGGGGCTGTAGGGTTGAGATCGAAGCTAGGCCTGGAGTGGGTAGGGAATCAACATAGATTCTGCCCAGAAAAACAGAAGGCTTGGGGTGTCACCGGTACGTAAGAATATAAGGATAGGAATGTAAGGCTGGATCTCTGAATGGAAGGGACAGTCAAGGAGATGGGAGCCAGCAGAGTAGCCTTTTCCATGCAGACAGGTGGAGCTGAGAGGATTAATAGAAGAGATTCCTAATGTGGGGCCTGTGGGATGCTAGCGCAATGGGAAAAGGTGGTAAGATGGGTATGACCGTCAGCAGTCTGGGCCCTGCCAGGTCTGGCCTGGGGTGTCAGAAGCCAAAGGTGAAGGCAGGCCCCAACGAGGTCTCACCCCATTCCCCCATGTCGTGAGGGAATTGGGATTCAGGCTGGCCCGGGGTGGGCAGAAGAGGTTCTCACAGGCTCCAAGATGCGGTGGAATCGGCCCATTCGCTCCACCACCCAAGCCTCCTGCTGCGGCACAAACAGCACCACGGTGTTTCGGGGCAATCCAGAGGAGGCGCGGCGCGCAGCGCGGCCAGAAGCCTGCACGGAGCCCTAAAGGGAAGACGAGGATCAGCAGAGACCCAGTCGGCCGGGCACCCCGCCCCTCTCGGTGCCTGTCCCGGAGGCATGTCCCTAAACCGCGACCGTAAAGGGTTCTCGGAAAGGAACTCAGGCGAGTACCATAACCTCCGATCCCAGTTCTCTCCCCACACTTAGAATCTGGCCCCTTCCCAGTTGAAAACCCAGGTGATCTCTGGCCCGACCCTTAGAAAAGGATGCCTTGCACTCACCCTCAGCAAAAGGGCCCCAGACGCCCGCACCGAGCGCGCCAGCATTTCCCACTGCCACAGCGGCCTCCGGAACCAACGAGACGCGGAGCAGAGCGGTCGCTCTAGATGCCCGGACCTGAGCCTTTCCTCCCGTATTTCCACTCCCCCGGATGTACTTCCGGCCTTCCCTTCCCTCTTTCACATTCAGCCAATCAGCGTTACTCGGCAGAAGCGTGCATCAAGTTGCTCGCTGGGAGACGCAGACTTTCTAGAGAGGGCTCAAGCCTGGAGCTTTTTCTTGTTCTCGCTGTTCAAGCCCAAGATCCCGAACACGGTGACCAAATGGAGGCTACTTTTCGCGTGCAGGTGTCCCAGAAAAGCTTCCCACAGAATTCTTTATCCCCACTGTGAGACTCAGTTTACCCTTCTGAGCGTATAATCGCCATCTTTCACCATAGCGACGAGCGATTGGAGCTGACTCATTGCCGTGGTTGCCATAGTGACATTCTCTGGTAGTCCTGCTGTGCTGTACCCAGCCCTCCCACTGGGGACCGACCCCGTTCCCGTTACCATGGTGACTGGGCCTAATATTGCCCGGTGATTGGACTGAGGTTTCCCCCTCCCCTCTTTTCCCAAGGCATCATAGCTTTTTCTTCCTCTACCCCGTCGGGGTCTATCAGGCCAGGTTCCCTCGCATACAGAGTCCGGCACACAGCCCCAACATTCAGCCTTCTCTGGAGCATGTCACCCTGCACACATCTCCGATTCTCTGTCACATGCATTAGGAGACTTGCACAGTCACCCTCATTTTACATATCAGAGCACTGAAGCTCAGAGGCGCTAAAATCATCAACAGAACCAGTGTAAGAATCCAGATCCGCATTCAGAGTTCAGCTTTTACAGCAGAACCTTCCCCACCACACCACCCCATTATGTGAAAGGGGCAAGACCAGACCCTAAGAATCATGGGGCCTCCCCTAAGACTTCCCTGCCTCAGGCCTTTTTCCTGGGGAAAGGGCAGAGTCCCGGCTCTAGTTAGGCTCTCCATCCCCATCCCCATGCTCTCCCGAACAGAAAAAGGAAGGCTTAGTTCAAGTTTCAAACAAGAATTTATTCTTTCTTTCTTTTTTTTTAAAAAAAAAGTACCAGGTACAATTTTTTCCTGTTTTTTTTTTTTTCAAGTTTTAGCAAATGCTTGTTCCCCTCAGCCCAGCCCCAGGTATCAGGGCTAAGGCTAGGTCAGAGTCTAGAGTGGGGAATGGGGTAGTTGATAACTACATGACTGAGTTTGAGGGGTGCCCCTCACCCCAACTGAGGTAGGTGGGTCAGAGTCTGGCCAGGTGAGAGGAGGCACCCCAGTCCTTGGCCCTGACTCTGTCCCCTGAACACCTTCCTCAGTCAGGACCCCAAAGCAAGGAGACACAGGCAGAAGGAGAGGGACAACCAGAGTCTGAAGTCCTAGATGAGGTGTGGTTGACACCTGTGTGTGTGTGCCTGCACGCATGCTCTCTCTCTCACACACATACACGTACACACACACACACACACACACACACACAAATTGGCCTTCAGAGAGAGGTGAGAGGGTCGGGGAAGTGAAAGGAATAAGGAAGGACAGGGGAAGCTGAGTCTTTGGCTGGTGACTCAGTCCTTCCGGAATACTTCTCTGCTCTCAGCTGAGGGAGAGCGGTTCTCCTACAGCCCCCATATCAGCCTCTTCAACTCCTGAGGTTGGAGCAATATCTGAGAGTGGGAAAGGAGGAGGGGCAATGCCAATTATCAGGTTTGGGACGTTACCAAGGCAATCCAATTTGAATAAATTATAAATTAAAATAAATAAAATAATAAGTGGCCCCTGCCCAGGACAGGGAGGCAACGCTGGCATGACTTGCCTGGGAACTTAGGACAACCTCAGGGTAGCTCCAGTTCCTCCCCACTACCGCAGCTGGCCTGGGAAATCCAAGGGAGGGGGCAGGCACGTGGAGTACCCAGAGTAGGGCAGAGTGTGGTAAGATCAGAAGCTTTAAACACCCAAATAATCAGTTTGGGCATGAGCGTGGTGAGGGCTTTAATTCAAGCCTGAAGGGTCTCTCGCACCTCTCCACGTGTTTGCTCTGTCCAGGATGGAGCAGGATGGGCAGGTCCTTGGCCCACATGGGTTCAGGGCACTGACAATCAGGGCAAAGGTGAATAACGTGGATTGTGAGGGGCCTCAGTCACAGCCTGCAGTTCGTAGGGGAGCCCTGTGTCCAGTTCCAGGCTCCGGCGGGAAAAAAGCAGGCGGATGTCTCCATGCAGGCTTAAGCGGCCTGAGCGGGAGCTCCGGAACCTGGGGGAGGACAGGGTGATCAAAGTAAGACCCCAGACTGTAGACAAGCAAGGAGAGATGCTATTCAGGGAGGACATGCCTGGGTTGTGGAAAGGATATCCAGGGCCCTGTCCTCACCTGAGGTGCAACAAGTAGCAGAGGAGGCAGCGGGTGGGGCTAGCATTTCCCTCCTCACCCACAGGCACCAAAAAGAGGCGATGACGCAGGAAGGTCATGTGGGCAGCAGGCATGTCCGAGAAGTCAAAGGTCACGAGGAACATCTTCACCACAGTCTGGTTGGGGTTAAATAAGGTCTGGGGACAGGAAGGGCAAGGTTGGTAGGGTCTAGGGGATGTTTTCCTGTCCCCACTCCCACTCCCCCTCAGGGAAAACTCACCACTTGGATGGTGCCCACCTTGGGCACGCTGTAACCCTTCCTCCCCAGGGGGTTCAGGTCCACGACGCCCTGGGAAGGCCATGGAGCCATCAGACAAAGTAGGGTCTGGGAGATCCCTGAACACTCATCCATCTCCACAATCTCTCATTCTGGGACCTCGCCCCTGCCCTACACTAGAGTTCTCCCCACCTGGCTCTGACTCTTAGGCGAGAACATCTAAAGAATACTTCCAGAGCAGTTCTCCTGGGTTCCCTAACTCTGCTGGTCTCTGCCCAGGGTGCCCTTCCCAATAAAGTCTTTTGCTTTGTCAGTTAAAAAAAAAAAAAAAAGAATACCCCCTGCCCCCAATCCCTCATGCCTCTCATGAGCTAACTTTGGGTTTAGGTCAGGTCATACCAGGAAGGGAGCCGGGGCATTTTGCTCAGAAACATCAAAGAAGGTGACAGTGACAGGCAGCGTGACATGCTGAGGGCAGTAGGATCCACTAGCTCCAATCTCTGCTGTGAAGCCCTCAATGTGGCCAGATGGTGCAAAGCGTCCTCGCAGCAATGATTCCTGGGGATGGGGTGGGAAAACATATTGTGAGACAGATGCTAGCTGTTTTCCTTACCCATCCAAGCCACACACACCACCATCCCTTCCCGCAAGATCCACCAATCAAGGAACCCAAGGGGAACTACCTCAAAGTTGCCCAACAGGGTACGGCTGATGGCGGGGGTAGGAACAGGGGAGGCACTGGGGGTGCTCAGCAGGCCTGGCCTCTTCCGGAGGCTTCGAAGGGAGCTCCTGGTAGGGGAGGGGACACACAAGTGGGTTGGCTTGATGTATTCTGCTACGCTTGCTACTGTCCTTGGGCCCCACAATTTGCTACTACCTAGGGCTCCTTCCCTGAGGTCCCCCACCTTGGGGTTGGAAAAAGAATTACAGACATCTGCCCCATTTTCAGGGAGGGGCAGAGGGAGAAGCTGGTCACTTACAGCTTCAGGCGACAGGCACCTTTCAGCCTCCGCCCCATGGGACTGCAGTCTGTTGGGTCCTATGGAGAGGAAAGATTAGGGACAGAGATTGGGTGGAGGCCAGGTATGTTTGGAGCAGGGGTTCATCACAAGCTCTCATAGGAACATCCTCCCAAGCCCATCACCTTTCCTCACACAGATGTCCACTTAAGAGCAGACCACTTCCTCTCCTGGCTTACCAGCACAGGCTCCTTGGGCCCAGGCAGCAGGTGGCTCCAGAAGGGTGTGGCTTTGGCATCAGAACTGTTGGCAGCAGGAGGGTGGCCCAGGGTTCCCCGGCGCCTCCGAGGGGCTGGCCCCTCATCCTCAGAGCTGACATCCGGGGCTTCTCCAGCTGGAAGCAGCCTTCGCTTGGTGGGACAGGGGCCTGGAGGTCCAGGGCCAGGGGGTGTGTGCTCGGGGCTGTGCCCATTGGCAGTGCCAGGGGACTCCCTAGGCCAGGGGCTGCCCCCATTGCCCACGCCAGCCACTAGGCTCTTACCCCCTATTTGTGCAAGACTGTGCAAATCAGTGTCAAGTGTGTGCAGCTGGCCCGGAGGGGCTGGCCCTGGGGACTCCCCCAGGGACCCCTGTCCCCCAGGATGTGGGGAAGCCCAGTCTCTGGTGTGCAAAGTACTGCAGGAAGCATTTGATGGGGGCCAGGGGGGACTCCGGGCCCCTGAAGTCCAAGGTGAGGTGGAGCTACCTCCCTGTTCCACAACACAGAGGCCATGATGGCAGAAATGTTGGCTGGCCACGCCCAGTCCCAGCCCCAGTCCCTCTGGGCCCAATAGCCCCAGAGTAGGTGGTTCTTCAGGGGGTAGTCCCTCTCTGGCCCCCAGCCCAGGGCCTCTCTTCAGCTCCCGGGGACCCTCAGTGGGTGGGGCTGGCCGTTTCAGGGCCCTATGAGGCTCGGAGGCACCAGCTGGAGGGGAAAAGATGGATACCTGGTAGACCCCGGGGGATGTTGCCCCCCCCGCCGGGCTGTAGCCCATGAGCAGGCCACCCTGGAGGGCCCCCTGCCTGACTGCAGGCTGTGAAGGGCCAGCCTCTGGCTCTGAGGATGGAGACGGCTCCGCCTGCACGTGGCGCATGAAGCCCCGCCTTGGGTCAGGGGGGACCCCCCCCCAGAGCCTTTATGCTGGGCCTGGGCTGGGGGGCCTGGGGACATCTGTGCAAGAGAAGAGAAGAAAAGATGGTCAGGGCAATCAGTGAATCATCTCCCTCCCAGGTGAATTTCAGATCCTCCCCTGGACTGAAGAGGTGAGCTTGTGAGGTTCCTGGGGGCGAAGGTGTCCCAATCTAATACCTTCAGATGGACTAATGGAATATAAAGGCCACTCGCAGAACTTCTGAGAAGGTGACACATTTAGCTCAGGTTTCTAACTGTACCTGCTCCTCCTCCCTCTCCTTGGCACTCACCCCGATAAAGAGGCCTTAAGCCTAGCTGTGTGTTCCCTCTTCCTGACTGATGCCTTGCTCTCCTAGCTTGCAGTCTGGTCCATGCCTGCTGCACTGGCGAGGTGACTGCCACCATTCCGTGCAGCTCCTAGGCTCAGCTGGACCCTGAGGAGAGAAAAACAGACATAAGCCAGGATCTCTGGAGCCAGCAGTAAGGCTGCTCTCCAACTGTCAGCTAACAGAGTATACGCCAGGACATCCTCCTCCAGTATGAGGAGCCCTTCAGAAACAGAAGGGGCAGTCTTGGGATCCAGGGCCCAGAGGGCAGAACTGGGCTACACAAGGAGTCACAGAGAGGCAGGTCTTAGCTCATTGTAATAAGGATGTGACAAGTAAGTTGAGGCAGGATAACTACTTATCAGGGCCACCAGCTAGGGGACTCCTGCCCTGAATGAGAGGGGGGATGAGATACCCCAAGATCCAAGAGACCATGTCAACTGAGAGGTGGCCAAAGCAAGAATTCAACTCTCCTAGTCAAGGCCACTGAGTTGCACAACTCCTTCCCACATACCTATCTCTAAAGGGACAAGTGCCATCCCATAACCCTAAGGGCAGAAGTCTTACAGAAACTTACATCCCCAACAGCGCTCCTTAGAAGTACAAACTTCAGGTCAGCTCAAAGTGGGCCCTTCAGCATTAAACTCCCAATTGGCCCCAGCAGTCTGTCCCTTTAACAGGAAGCAACAAATCTAACCAAAAACAAGTCTAGAGGGGGCGGGGTGGGGGAGGAAGCACTGCTAGAAGGCACTTTCCAGGGCCTACCCCTCCCCCTACCTAGGCCCTGCAAACTAGTGATAAGACAGTGACAGTCAGAGAGCAGGAGTACCTCGCCACTCCTCCCCAACACATCCAACACCCAAAAACCAAAACCACTGCTTTTCTGTCAGGGTACAAGATGGTCTTCACTGACTAGTCCACCCTCAGGAGTCCATATTGGGTGAGGGGATGTCTAGTTGAAGGCCATCTTCCTTCATGGGAGAAAACATTGCCCCCAGGATCAAGCTTATCCTTTGGTCAGTAGCCTGTGCTGCCTGCTATCCACAAAACCCTTTCTCATCCAAGGAATGTCCCCTTATGCCTACCGGAGTCTTAACCTTCCTTGGCTAGGCCAAATGCCATCCTCTCCATAAAGCCTACTACGGCCACCCTGGACCATAAATGTCTGTCTCTTCTGAGACCTCACCTATAGCAGTACCACTATCTCCTGTAACCCAGTGACAGCTTTGTTTGCTCCTGTGGGTAAGACATCTCGTAGACTGACCATAGGGTTCTTGAGGATAGGTTTGTACTTCACTCCTCTGCCCAACTCCAAGCACAGGGGTAAGCACATAGCAGGGCTCAAAAGAGTAAAATGCAAGTCCCAGAGATCTGGGCAGCAGTCCTGACAGTGCAGAGAAAAACTCCCAGAATATGAGAGAAGCAGGGAGATTAACTGTATAGGGAAAATCAGCAACAACAAAGATGGGGGTGGGGGGCTTCCCCGGTGGCACAGTGGTTAAGAACCTGCCCACCAATGCGAGGGACACAGGTTCATGCCCTGGTCCGGGAAGATCCCACATGCCGCGGAGCAACTAAGCCCGTGCGCCACAACTACTGAGCCTGCGCTCTAGAGCCCGCGAGCCACAACTACTAAGCCCGTGTGCCACAACTACCAAAGCCCACGTGCCTAGAGCCTGTGCTCCGCAACAAGAGAAGCCACTGCAATGAGAAGCCCGAGCCTCCGCTCGACGCAACTAGAGAAAGCCCACGTGCAGCAATGAAGACCCAGCGCCGCCAAAAATAAATAAATAAAATAAGTTAAAGATGGGGGTGGGACGCAGGGAGAAAGGGGAGCTTTGCATCCAGGGACTGGAAAACTCTCCTACACCAAGTTCCCATCACTGCACTATCCTACACTATCCTATTTCACCAAGTTCTCATTAGAACTGGCAGCCCTAAGAAAATTCTGGTTCCCTGTGGTGGATGGGGCGTCTGGAAAGGGCAGAACGCCAATGGCAGCATTGTCAGAGGGTACGACCTGTACTAATCTCTTCCCTCCTTTCCTCTACCCATGCTATACAGATTCAGGAAGGGCCTTTTCCTTAGCACTCCCACCCCTAAGTCATCCCATCATCCCAGTTGACCTCTTGAGCCCTTGCCCTGGGGAAGCCAGGTGATGACATGATGCCCTACTTGACCCCAGCATGGCTGGCACCTGCTCATTACCCCAGAGTCCTCTCAGTTCCTGCCCTGTCAATGAAAATCTCTAAGACTCACTTTCCTGCCACCCAGCCAGTCTGGCTCTAGACCATGGCTTCAAGCTGACTCATGGGGCAGGACTTGGCAGGGGAGGGGCAGGGTAGGCCAAATCTCACTCTGTGCAGGGGGTGGGCAGCAGCTGGCGTCAAACATCTGTGCCAGGCTGTGGCTGGCAAGGACTACAGCTCCCAACATACCAAGGGAGCAAGGCCAGCAAAAACAACAAGTCCCAGAATACCACGGGGTCTGTACCCTCAGACACCTGCTAGGCCTGGGAGGTGGGGTAGGTGGGTGTTGAGCTGCCAGGCTCACTCTCCCCTTCAGTATTAAAGATATCCATTTCTACCCTGATCAAGGAAGGTGGCCGGAAGGAGAATTCCTCTCCATGTGCTTTTCACCTTCACGCCGTTCAGAAGGAACTGCTGCCCGCTGCTCTACATTTTGTACCTGCACACGTCTACACTAGCTACGGGGGCTGTTCCCATGGACCACTACTGTGGGTAGAAAGGTTAACCTCTGCCCTCTCACCAACCCCTTGCCTCTCTCTGGCCTAGAGCCCTCCACCCTCCGTGGAGAGGAAGCAAATCTTAGCACCTCCTCCAAAATGAGCCCAGTAGACTCACCCCAGCACCCCGGCTCCAGGACTCCTTGTTCTGACCGATCCCCCCCCCCCCCTGCTTAGCCTCCCAGGTCCTTTCTCTCCCCCCTCCTCCCCACAGCCTGGGACAGGCCCCATTCCCTACTGGAGCTTCGGAGATTTGCTATTTCCCCCTAGCACAAACTCACCCCGTTCCCAGACTGGCTCCGCCGCGGCGCCGCTGCTCCAGGCCCTTCCGTCCCGTCCCGGTCCCTCCCCTCGAATGCCCGATCCTCCCCACCACGGGCCCCCAACCCAGACAAAGGGTGGCTCAGCCTGAGCCCTGCTCTGTTAGGATCTTCTCTGTTCAGCTTCGTGTGCAACACTAGCGGGCCCTGGCGCCCGCAGCCCCCAAGCCGCTGCCTCGCCCCTCCCCGCGACTGTCCCTCCCCGCGGGCGCCCGGGCTCCGCACTGCCGACTCCGCTGCCCCTCTGACTCACAGGCCATTTCCTACCAGCTGATGGGGCAGCCCGCCCCGCCCAGCGCCCCCACTCCCCCACCGCTGCAGCCGCGGCCGCCACGCCCCCCTCAAACTCCGCCCCCCATGGGCAGCGACCATGCTAATTGGCCTAAAGGATGCCAGCCTCCCCACGACCTCAAGCGTGAGGCACGCCCCCTCCAAGAGACGCAAGCCCATTGGTCCACAGGGGGGGCCGGCCTACATAGGGTCGCCCCGCCCATCTCCTTAACCTCTCAGCTGCAGGAGTCCAAAGCAGCTCTCAGCCCTGCCTTTTAACCCTTTGAAAGACGTAGGCCTCCCACTTTTCACCCCTCCCTTCCTCTTCAGAGGCGGGTCAGTAGGACGACCTAGGGCGTTCACAGACAAAGTTCGACAATCCCCAAAGTCAGCTTGCTCTTTCAACACCAGATCCCAAATATCCCCACTCCCGTTCATCTCTCCGTGCCTTGCAAACCAGAGGTCCAGAGACCAGAGGGCTGTTGAATCCCAGGAAGCTTCCTTCGTGCCAGGGCAGATGAAAAGGTCTTGAAGTGGGATCTCATCTCTTTCCACTGAGAAATAGTATTGTTCCTCTCTTACTCTATATTGATGTTCTTTTGCCTTCATTAGAGGGGCCCCAAGGGCTCCCGAGATAGGGATACCTTTTAATTCAGGAACTAGACATCATCCTTTGTGCCTCTAAACTTCCATTCTGAGATCAGGCTGCTTCAGCCCTTCTGCACTCTTTCTATTCATCAGCCCCTGTTCAAGGAGGCAGAGCACCCAGGGGAAGAAGTGGGATAGGAAGGCTCCTGCCCAGAGTGGGGGGAAATATGCCCAACTCTTCTGACAGAGCTCACCCCCATGACTCACAGCTCCCTCGAAACTCCCCACCCTCCCCCTGAGTCACTGGGTCCCAAGCCCAGCCCAGACCCAACCAAATTAAGTGGCAGCAGAACCAGCATTCCTAATTCTTATTCTCTTACCCTTTAAATGACCAGGATGGAAAGCTTTGCAAGGATTAGACATTAAAAGACACTTTTTAGAGGGGCTGATCTACGGGCAAGCTAAGAAAATAAACAGTCCTGCCTACCTTTCCCTCTGCACTTGTGAAGTCAGACAGTTTGGAGCTTAAGAGGTTTCTAAGACTCAGGCCTCCCACAAAACAAGAGGCAAACACCAGAGCCAAAAGAGGAAAGACTCAAACTGAGACCCTAAAGAATTAGCATCAGCCAGGGCAGGCTCCCTGGCTGTGCCTCCAGAAGAGCGGGAGTGCATTCTTTTATAGTTCAGAAGCCACAGAAGCCCCAAGGTCCTTGTTTCTACCTTGCTTGTAGTGGTGGGCCCTAAGGGCCCTGAGGTTGTCACTGGACAGTAAAATGAGGCTCTCCTCCCCTACTTCCTCCCTGTGCCCTAGACTTAGGAAGGACAACCAAGTAACAGTTCCTCTAGCCTCCTTTCTCCTTACCTCAGACCAGGGGAAAAACGCTGAAAAAGAACCCAGTTGCCGTGGACTGACTTCCTTGCTGGTTCCCTAATGCTAAGGAACGGGATTTTCAACACCCTGAACAAAATTGCAGAGTACCAATGTAAAAGCCCACTTGCCTTAGTAAAAGCTTACTGGGAAGACAGGTAGACAAAGAACACTGTAGGAAAGGAGTAATTCCTTGGTGACCCCACCTTGTTCTATCTAACTGCCACTACCATAGGCCCAGGCCTTAGTTATTTGCAAAAGTCAGGGGGCAGAAGTTCAGAGGGAAGGATCAAAGATGTTCTAGGCCTCAGTGTGTACTGGGAAAGCAAGCAGCATGGTACAATCAAGAGGCTTTACCTAGCTGCCTTAAATTCTTACCCTGCTTTATTTTTTTCATAACAGTTATCACCAGCTGACACTTCTCCCTCTTTCCCCTTCCCCCTCCCTCTCCCCGCTTTCTCTCCCTTCCCAGCCACACACACATTTATTTCTCCCCCTATTAGAATGGAAGCTCCATGAGAACAGCAACTTCGTCCATTTTGTTCATGCTGGTATTCCCAGAATCAGCATCAGTGTCTGGCACATAATAGGTGCTCAATAAACACTGGCTGAAAGAAACAATGAGCCCTGGGCTGAGTAAAGAGCAATCAGGAGACCTGGATCCTAACACCTGCTCTTTCACTGTGAGACCTGGAGAAAATCTCAGTCTCTTTGTTAATTTCCAAATCTGTAAAAATGAGCGTTTGTATAGACATTGAGGGCCTCTACAATTCGGACCTTATACTGCTATAATTCTAATGGCTGCTGTTCACTCATATCCATTTTCAGAGGATGGATCCAAGCATCTGAATGCACTGCTGCCTGTACCGAAGCAGAAAGTCTATATACTCCAGCCTCTGCACAGCAAACTGATGCCCTTTCTCTTCACGCTCCACCCACTCACACAAATGCCTCAGTCTTGAGGAAGCTGGAGTGAGTCCGCCCTAAGCCCGCCTCTCAGAGAGACAGTCTGGGAAGCTGTGTTGCCATAGCAATCAGCTCCTCCTCAAAGGTTTCAGCCTGCCCTCCTTTACCCCACCCTACCCCACGGCTTTGTCTGGCTTCAGCACCCCCTCCCTCCCCAGCCAGTCTCTCAGCCAGAGGAGACTGGCTTGGGGCCCCTTTCAGCAACACTGTCACACTCATTCAGCCACTGTGTGGAAAACAGGGCTTTCTCACCCTCTCCCAGCCTGCCCAGGGGCAAAAAAGAGCTCTGGCACTACATCAAGTCCCCTCAGGGAACCAGAGGAGCCGCCACAAGGACTAGGCCCTAGTCTCAGTTCTGATAGCTTCTAAGCCAGGAGGGTGGGGAGCCATTCCCCCTCCCTCCCCCAGCAGAGACTGGAACCTCACATCCCTTCCCAAGTTCAGCCGACAATAGTGGCCCACCTCTCAAAACATGCCTCATAGACTTTCAGTACTTCTCACCATTTCCCCTTCCCACAGAAGCCCAGAATTTTCGAGGGGCCTAGGGTTCCCTACCCAGGAGAAGGAAAAGTGTGGGGAAATCAGTTTGCGGCAAGTGGTAAAAAGGTGTCTACCATTCACTTGGGGGGCTGTTGGGAGAGACCTCTGCAGTAGTGAGGGCGAGGTCTGGGCCTTGCTGCTGGTTACTTAGGTCTCTGGCCACGGAGTACGAAGTCTGGGGCAGGGCACAGCTCCTAGACAGGCAAGG